TCAAGTCCAAGAAAACACTCAATCCCAGTCTGGCCCTATTTCCCACGAAAAAGACTTTTTGGGAGCTAAGTGGGTGGATAATAAGAAAGAGAATAGTGGAGGTCTATCTGGAGACTCAGAGTTCCTCAGATGTTAAGTTTTAAAAAACTGGAGTTAGATTTTGTGCAATACAATTCACCTTCTATGGTACTTTTGGAGCCCCTTCCGTTAACTTGGTCTCTATAGACTGAAAGAGGTCACAGAACATCTCACAAATTTTTATGAAGGCTTTCAGTCTGCTGGCATAGGTACAAACAGAATAAGAAACTCAAAAATGCCAGTGGGGCAAATATATATTAATTGTATCTATATAAAACTATATAAATATAAATACATATAATTATATATTTAATTTCATAATTACCTTGTCCTTATTCAGTGTGGACTTGATTGGCCAGAACACCCAGAGATCCTGGTGCCCCCTGGTGGTCACTGAATTGTCACAGATTTCCTTGACACCTAAAATACAAGGGTTTTAAAGAGCTAATAAATTGCAAGATGAGAAACTACGAAAGCATGTAGAAGTAATTTGCATAATTTACGCTAGTTCTATCTATCAGTGCATTTGACTTATGGCAAAATAAAATATAACTAAAAGAAAGGAAGAACCTCTTCAGGCAAAATCAAATTAAAAAAAATAAATTCATCTGAAGAGTAATGGACATGTGTTAAGTGATTGTGAGTATAATGTGACACATTCCTCTGATATATTCACAAGTTCCTTTAATATTGGTCAAATAATAGAAGTTATTTGATTCAACACTTTGAATATTATAAACGGTTAGGAAATTTCCGAGTGACACCTTAGCAGTATTCAACCGGACTCTTATAATTTTGATATAATTTTTTTAATTTGTTAACCTGTCTTAAATTAACTCAGTCATCGCAGTCAAAGAATTATATTTGTTGTTTTCCATGACAGTATCAATGTATCTGACCTTGCAAAAATGAATGAACTTTTTATAAAGGCTCAAAATGTAGACTTGACTTGTAATTTGATTCCTGACCTCTGACTTCCTATACTGTTGGCTAAATCTGAGGCTTACAAGAATAGGTGAAACTATAGGTATGTGTTTTATGAGCCTGGTTTATGTACATTTTTTACATTGGACTGCAAGTAAATATTTTATATTCACTACATAAATCATGCTAATGTAAATATGTAAATGATTTTCCTGCACAGTGGAAAGATTGTTTACATTTTGACTGAAATCACAAATAGAGAACCCAATTTTCTGTAATATCTATTAACTGAGACATAATGTTTCTTTTCTGTTTATAATCAGTTTCTTCTGCACAGTACCTTTTCTAATTCAGTTTAAATTACCCCTTTTTCTGTGATGAACTTGCATTTTCACATTTACCAGCTGTGAATGCATTTAGACAGTAAGTGCAAAAGTAGTAGGTTCAGAAACAGCCCTTTGATTTCATTGTTGTTGTTAACTATTTAGTTTGGCAGCCTTGGCTTTGTAACATACCGAAGTCTCAGATTATACTTTATCCTCTAAAGGCATGTTTACCATACGCATGTGAGCATGTGCACGCACACACGCACAAAACGGCTTTTTATTTGAAAATTCATGGAACTTATTCCCTGAAGTCATTATAATCTACTCTTAAGTTACTATTTCTCTCTTAACATCATAGAATACCTCCCAGAGATAAAAAGTGACATGAATATTAGTATTGAAGCATGTTAAAAAAGAGATAAGAGCTGTACCCTCATTTGGAATGTGTATCTTGAATTTGTACATTTATTTTCATACATGTACATTTATGTGTGATTATTAGTAGTTGGATAAAAATATGGTGCATAAAAATTGGGTATATCTTCTTTGCATCTGAAAAGAGGTATTTTTCACCTTTCTACTATACATTTATAATAGCTGTTTCAAAAGAGGAGATATAAATGGAAATTATTTCCTTTTTTCCCCTTTTATTTCAAATTAGCTAAATATATGTAGGCTACTCTATCAACTACATTACACAACGAATACATAAAAATAAAAAAATAGTTTTCAGAATTTCTGCTTTGGCTCACATGTATTGATTGTATACATCATTCGGTATTGCCCAGAAAAATGATGTTTTCTAATTCATTTTACATACACACATCCATATACTTTCCTAAAAAATGCTGTAGAAATAATATGAAAAATCACAGATATGAAGCTAAAATAAACCATTTTTAAAGTGATAGAACGAAATTCACTATTTAGTGTTATTTTAAAATAGGAAAGTTTTGCGAACTGATTATTTTTTATTTCAATGGTTTCATGTACAAATAGGTTTATGTGCTTTGCTGTTAGCCAAATAGAGTCTATTAACAACTTAAATACTAAAATAAATGCTGTATAATACTGCATAATGAACATTCTTTTGTTGACTAAGTTATTTACTTTTATTTAAATGTTATGACTTCTTTACCAATATACTTAACTACAAAAGAAAGAAGGCTGGTAAACCTAAAAATGAGTATCACTGTGCAATTCTGCAGGAAAAACTGTCAGCAGCCTGGCACATGTGCATTTAATGTGAAGCCTCTTGTCTCTAAAAATAAAAGCAAGGCTGCACATACCCCTATGTCTGACAGACAGAAGGGACACAACAAAGGGGACTCCGTATACCACCTACACTCATCAGAGTGAAGGATGTTACTTCTTTAGTTTCCTGGTTTAATGGAAAGTTATTTGTATTCACATCACTGAGTATTAGTCATTCAATAGATGAAAGGAATATTTTAAACTTTAAAGGCTACCTTGGTGTCACTGTAAGAAGTGGGGATGAGACCCTGGAGAAAGTGCTGAGATCTTGTGAAATTATTTTAATTATTAGAAGTGGATTAATATTTGTGGCTTTGTGGTTCTGAGATTAATAGTTTTATAGTGTATGTGTACAGATTTATGTTTTTAATTGTTTTACCTTACAATTTGTACTCTAAAGCATATGTTTGTGTAAGTACCTTTTGATCTTCTCTGTAACAAGTGCACTCTACATTTTTTTTTCTTTTATTTTGGTCTCTTTTCAAGGTTAATATATTAAGCAGTTTACATTTTCTATGCATCCTTTAAAGGGCACTTAAGATGCTTTTAGATATGATTTCTAAAAGATGTAATAGGCATAATGGCTAGGAACAAGTAACATTTAAGAAATAAACTACAGAAACAAAGAGAAGTTAGAGAAGGAAATTTCATTTCTTTCTTCTTTGTAATTGCATTAGGCAAGTTAAAACTACAGGAGACAATTTACCAAAAAATAAAACTTAAAAATCTGGGGATGTGTCATCTCTGAGAAGTCTTTGCTGTAATACCAGAAACAACTCAATTTACTTTATATTTCTGTATAGAAAGAATAGGAAAAGTTTGGAGTCTTAGGCGAGATCAAACTTTGTGCCTATCATAAATAAAGGCAAATCATGAATGACAGATTTTTAAAAAAGGATTAAAAGGACAAGAAGAACACTGAACTCATCTTAAATATGTGATCAGGTTACTCTGTCGTGACATTTGAAATTGATGATTTGGCAGTTAAGTTTTTAAAGTTCTTCCTCTTATATCACCCACCCCTTGAATTGCAAAGTGTCTGAGAAACTGCCTAACGGTGAACGGATTTCTCTACGATGTCGTCCTTGCTATTTTAGTTGGATGAATTCAACTGGGGATGTTGGTTGTACTTTTTATTCTCACTTTCCCTTGAAAGCAGTTTCCCTTGAAAGATTGAATAATAATAACCATAAAATTGAATAATTATTGGAAAGTACCAATTTGCGAAAGAGGTCTTGCTTTATTAATTTAATACGTGGCAACATTCTTCAAATTTAAGTGTAATTTATGCAGCGAAATGGGAAACGATCAAAATGGGGCAATCCAAATAAAACCTTAGAAAATGATAAAACATATAAGAAAAGTGATACGGAACCTTCCAAAGGTTCTTAGTGTCCTACTTCACCAAACAAACTATTGTGAGATGAATGGGCGGGGGTGAGGAGGGCACCTAAAACAAAAGACTTCCTTTCTCCACTCCCTTTTCCTCTGTTTCTTTTGCCAGAGCTTGTTGCAAACTCTTGGAAACATTGTTTGAACATAATACATTTGGATACTTTTATTCTTCCAGGGACTGTGCCGGGTGGTGCCTAGAGCTGACTGCTGTTGAGTAACAGAAAAAGAGACGTATAAACCCTTCAAGAAATGAAAAGAACAAAGTTACCCGACCCGAGGAGGTTTTGAGTAACAAAAAAGTAAAAGGCACTTTACTTAAAGGCACAGCTTATTTCACTTTCCTGGCTCCGTGCTTGGTAGCTGAGAGATGGCTTGCATTGCCTCCGGTTTCTAAAAGACCACAAGGAGTACCGCTATACGTTACAGGGCTCTAAGTTGGGAGCGTTATTCTCGGATCGATTCTGCTCCACGAAAGCAGTGATTGCTAAAAGCCGAGTGCCCACAGCAGCACGCACCTCGGCTGCCTTTCGCGTCCTCCCTTTCAGAGCATCCAGAGAAAGCTGGGAGCTCAGAACCTGGAGGGAATCCTGGACCGGCAACCTGACTCCGCTCGCTGCCGATTGGCCCGCGCCCCGAAGCCCGCCCCCGCGGCCGGGGCGGCCTTTGCACCAGGACCCGCCCCTCGGCCCTGGGAATCGCCGCCTGGCAGGCCGGCTGTGCCTGCCAGTCAGCCCGAGTGGCGGAGGCTCTCTGCTCGGAGCTCCGCCCCCTCCCCCCTAATTGATATTATTGGAGTGTGGAGCAAGCGGCCGGTCTGCAGTCGGAGACTTGCAGGCAGCAAACACGGTGCGAACCAACAGGAGGGGGAAAAAATAAAAAAAAGCTAAACGTGGAGCAGCCGGCCGGAGATCGAGCAGGAGAATCGATGCGAAAAGCGCAATAAAAAAGAACCCACTTCGGAGCAAACAGCATTTAAAAAGCTACGACTCAACTGAAACCTAAAATAAAACCTGCTCATGCACCATGGTTTTTCAAACTCGGCACCCTTCATGGATTATTTTATGCTACATCTGGCTGCTCCGCTTTGCACACACCGGGGAAGCGCAGGCTGCAAAGGAAGGTAAGGTGATGGGAAAGCAAAGTTTGTTCTGACTTATTTATTTAGCTGTCTACCTGCATGAGCCGGCTCGTCCGCGGGGCTGCCGGCCGCGCCTCCGGCGCGGGGCGACCCTCCCCCGCCAGCTCCCCGCCCCCTCACCGCTACGGCTGCTCCCGGCCCGCAAGCGGCAAGCGGGGCCACTCCGAACCGCCTTCAGCCCCTCGCCCGAGGCCGTCCGCCCGACGGGAGTGGGATTTCTGGCGCAGGCAGTCCGGAGGGCGTGAGCAGCAACGCAGAGCGGCGGGGTGGAGTGGGGTGGTGGGGGGGATGACCAGCGAGCTCATCCTCTAGGATCCCAGGCGGGTCAGATCTCTTCTTCTAGAGCTCTGCTCTTCCTCCTCTCGGTGCTCGCCTCCGGTGGGGTAAGCTGCGGCCGGAGTTAGTCGGGGACTGGGGAGTGCAGCTTCTAGCGTCCTGGACAGCTCGGCGGCGAGCGGCTGGTGTCCCGAGCCTTCCCAGAGGGGCCGTGACTTGTGTGTGCTCCGAACGCTCGGGTTACTAATGAAGTGCTCACTGCGTCGGAAGAGAAGGCGCGGGCCTGCGGTTGGCGCTCGGCCGCCGGCGCGGAACAATAACGCCGCGGAGGTGAAGCGAGAGAGCGGTGCGCGCCCCGCGGCGGGGACGTCTCCATTCAGCGCGCGCGGCGCGCGGATCCTGGCGGCCGCGCGGACAGCCGGAGCCCATCTGGCTCGGCCGGGCCGGGGAGGCAGGGGATG